CTCATATGAAGACCCACGAACATTATAATTTAAATTTAATTTACTCTCATCATCGTCTAAGTTAACAGAAAATGATGAATTTCCAGGAGATTCAAAAACAGTGTTATCCGACGATGATGATACATGAATGAAATTATTTTTTCGAGGCATTTTATATGGATTTCTAGCTTCAATGTGATCATTAATTCTTCAAAATCTTTTAACGAATTCCAAACATGATCAAATTTAAAACCTTTTTTGAAACTTGCATCTTCCTTCATTAGTATCTTCTTTGCTTGATTTAACTGCAAACAATATATTAAGGTTACAAATAAAACTTTCAAGTTATATATATTAATAATAAATTTAAGAAATGACTTACAAGCAAGTAACTTTCGAACAGCTTTATCCATGACTTGGATCCGATTTTGTACAGATCTTGCAATACGTATCTCCCAATCAGGATTTTTTAGTTTGGTTGTATGCATCAGTGATTCGATTCCAAAATTGATCCCTGAACTTTTGTCTTCCGGTAATTGGATCTTGCGAGATATCTAAATAATGCTGGCATAGCAACACATATTCATCATGACTATAACCACCACCTCGGATGGACATTTTGAAAAGAAATTTCAATAAACTTTTGTTATATTAGAATGAGAAGTGAGTGGTTTTGGTGTAATAGTTCAAATAGTGAAAAGATATATTTATAGACAAATTTTGGATAGATATCAAATCTTATCCATTGAAAAACTTAATCTCAAACGTTCATTTAGATTTCACAACACCCTAGCCATTGAATCAAAACATTTTTTTGACCAATCTCAATTATTTATATTATATTTGACTAAACATATATATATATACATATTATAACAATCTACTTATCTATATCAGAAGTAATCCGAACCGTTCATTTGGATTTCATTTACATTTCATCAGTTTGATTGTATATCTATATTATCCAATCAATTATTATATTATTATAGATTATAAAAATCCACTTATTCATGTCAGAGCAATCATGAGCGTTCGTTTGGATTTCATCTCCATGTCATTTGTTGGATTGGATATCTATATTATCCAATCAATTATTATATATTATAAATTATAAAAATTCACTTATCCATGTCAGAGCAATCACGAGCTTGCGTTTGGATTTCATCTTTATTCCATCCGTTGGATTGGATATTTATATTATCCAATCAATTATTATATATTATAAATTATAAAACTCCACTTAATCCATGTCCGAGCAATCATGAGCATTCGTTTGGATTTCATCTTCATTTCATCCGTTAGATTAGATATCTATATTATCCAATCAATTATTATATATTATAAATTACAAAAATCCACTTATCCATGTCCGAGCAATCATGATCGTTCGTTTGAATTTCATCTTCATTTCATCCGTTGGATGGATATCTATATTATCCAAATAATTATCATATATTTATATTTTATCTAAAATTTTCATTCTATAAATTATTGGGCATTCAACGAAGGTTTATTCATCAAACTTATATTCATTTATCAAAACAATATTATTTATTCACCATGAGTAACTCTTCATCGTCGGATGATGAAGAAGTGAGTAGAATTTTCATGGAGTCCTTTCAAGAGGATGAAGCAGCAATCTCCATATTGATGCAAAATAATGTTTATTTGGAACAGTTACTCAATCCATCAAGGCTCTATCCCAGGTCATCGAGTAATTAATCGTGATCGTGAAAGTTCATATCGTAATTTATATAATGATTATTTTTCAAATAATCCTTTATATAATGAACAAATGTTCGTCGACAATTTAAAAAATCTCGAAGTCTGTTTCTTCGTATTGTTGATGCGGTTAAAGATCATGATCCTTATTTTCAACAACCGAGAGATGGTCTTGGTAGACTTGGTTTGTCAACCTTACAAAAAGTAACTGCTATTTTTCGGGTGTTAGCATATGGTGTACCTGCAGATTCAACTGATGAGTACATTAAAATTGATGAATAAACAACAATTGAAAGTGTTAAACGATTTTGTCGTTCCGTTGTTGAAATTTTTTCAACTGAATATCTTCGACATCCTAATGCTAATGATATTTCAAGGTTGTTTTATATTGGAGAATCTCGTGGTTTTCCAAGTATGTTGGGCAGTTTAGATTGTATGCATTGGAAATGGAAAAATTGTCCTACGGCTTTCGCAGGTCAATATGCAGGTCGTAGTGGATCACCAACTATTATTCTCGAAGCTGTGGCTGATTATGATCTTTGGATTTGACATGCATATTTTGGTATGTCAGGTGCCAATAATGACATTAATGTTTTAGAATCCTCGCACTTTTTTTCAAATCTTGCTCTAGGTATTGCTTTTCCCACACATTATACCCTTCAAGGGAAAGAATACAATATGTGGTATTATCTAACTGATGGTATTTATCCTAAGTGGACTACTCTTGTTCAAACTATTTGTGATCCACGATGTCTAAAAAAAAGACTTTTGGAACATAAACAAGAGTCTTGTAGAAAAGATGTTGAGCGTGCTTTCGGAATTCTACAATCACGTTGACATATAATTGTTGAAGCTGTTCGGATTTGGCAAAAAAATGTTATGCATGATATTATCACTGCTTGCATTATTATGCATAATATGATAATAGAATATGAATGAGATCTCAGTGCACTTATCAGAGAATTTTTAGAAACACCACTCCCATCCGTGGAAATGACAACCGATGAAACTATCCAACTTCAACAATTTCTTACCCGATATAGACAAATTAGAGAAAAAGATGCTCATTTTGCACTTTGTAATGATTTAATAGAGCATATATGAGGGCAATATAGTACACTGAATAAGTATGTCGTATTTTATTTGAACTATTATTGTAATGTATGTTTTTTTTCTTTTTTTTTTTTTAACTATATAGCAGTGGCTGCACCCAGAGTGGACTGCCTATGTACCCGAACGAGATCAAGCCATACGTAGTTCTATCTACAAGCTATACAGTCTCAATAAAGCAAACATTAGTAGTCTAAGTATCAAGGCATAAAGCAATATGCCTAAGGCATCGAAATCAAATACTAAGCTATCAAGTCTAAATATCATCTATCAATGCTAAGTCAAGAATCAAGGAATATGGTGAAGCCTGCTACCTGAAGCGGAAGGTTGGGAGACCGTCAACGTCCGCTCGAAGGAGCCCTCTAATCAACGAAGGAATATCTGAAGGGAGAAGTGTCCGCTCAATCGGGAGAGAAACCACCAAAGTCGTTAAGGCATCTGCGACGCGGTTCCCCCCTCTATATATATTCGATATCCTTCAAGTCGCATCCCTAAACCGCAACCGAATACACATAAGGCATCGTTGGTGAGTCCAGTGGCTCATCTCGGTGAAGATCAGAGAGATGCATGCCATCGAGTCTGTCTCAATCCATAAAGGCATCAATCATCGGTCAATCGCTATCCCTACTCTAGTCTGAATCGCTGTCAGCTCTACCAAAGTGTTCGTCGCCTGCAGAATCGGAGTCTGAAATGCAATGAGTACTGCCCTGGTTGAATCTCGGATAATGCCAGCCGCTCCTGCTGCTCCAGGATTGCCAAGCGAAACACCATCGGTGTTAAGCTTGAACCATCCCGTAAACGGTGTCTCCCATATTGTAATGTATGTTTTTGTAATAAATTGTTATGAAATAATAATATTATGTTATCTTTGCTTAATCATTATATCATATTTGTCTTGATAGCATTTAATTATTTATTTAAAATTATTTTATTTGTAATAGTTATTAATTATAAATGTTAATTTTTATATATGTAATTTTTAAATAAAACATAAATTATATGTGTATGGATCTAATGTAAAAATAAATTAAAGTTGAAGTGTAATTTATAAATATGAAAAATTATATAAAATAATATATAGAGAATATATTTTCAGTAAAAATTAAAATTTATGGTTGGAGAGGGCTTACAAAATCAAATATCACAACAAACGCAAATTGTGCGGCAAGAATGAAGGATAACCTGTGCTCGTGATATTAAGGGTGCGTTTGGCAATTAGCTGATAGCTTTTAGCTGTTAGCTGATTCAATTAGCTGATTTGACTAGCGGATTCATTTAGTGATTTGTATTAAAGTGTTCGGTGAAACAACTGTTTGAGCTGTTTATACATAAAATGACTATTAAGGACATTGATATGTTATTTTTTAAAATATGTAATTTTGTTCATTGTGATTTGAAATTTATAAGAATTTTTGTTATTAAGTATTGAAAATTATAAAAATATTATAAAATATTTATTTATTTTTTTTAAATTATGTAAAATATAAAATAATAAATTTTTCGTATATATTTTTATTATGTTAATTATTGTTTTAATATATATAAATAAATTAATAATCTTTGTCTTTTCTATTTGATTTAATAACCTTTCTTTTTTCTATTTGATTTAATTTTAAAAATTTATATATTTTATAAATAAAATAATTTATATGTAATAATTAATAATAATTATTATTTTAAATTTACAAAAATAAAAATATAATTTAATAAATTAAATATATTAAAAATAATTAATAAATACTGGTATAAAAATATATTTATATGTATAAAATAAATAATTATCAGAGTAAATAAGGAATAACCAAAATTAAAATGAAAATTTTTTTTCAAAACGGTAGGTAGATGAACTTTTCAAAAATTAGTTTTTTTGGATCCAAAAAAACTCTTTCAAAAACCTAATTTACCAAACAATTAAATTAATTTATTGACTGATCAGTTCAATAAGTTAAAACGTGTTCAAAAAGCTGTTTTCCAAAAATTTATTGACTGATCAGTTCAATAAGTTAAAACTTGTTCAAAAAGCTGTTTTCCAAATACCCTTTAACCCTTTTAGTCTTGTACGAGATATATGATTTGTTTAGTGTATATTGCTACGGTCGCCGCTGAGATTCAATGGAAATTTATCTAAATACGCACCCGAATAACACAGAGTTTCCAAACATTCCATAACACACTCGTGTAGAAAAAGGTGATAGTGAATAAGGGCAATCTGAAATTAACGCGGCATCCAATCAAAAGAAGTACACGATATGATACTGAGTGGCCGTGTAGAGAGAAGAGAAGTAATACACCAACAACATAACATAACATAATAGAGAGAATGAATGAATGAATGAAATCAGTCAAGCATACTCAATTCCCTCCGAGCGTATCTAACTACATGGCGCCTCTGCCACAGCTGATACATAACCATATGAAACACATCCATCGCCGCCGCACCCTCCTCGGCGACGGCGTTCCACACCAGATGCTTGGCCGCCACCGCCATTCCCACTTCCCTCATCTCCGCCCACTTCTCCTCGCTCACCCCGCTCAGCACCTCCTTCACCCGCCCACCCTCAACCACCACCGCCATATCACACCATCTCAACACATCCATCAACGGCAAGTCCTGAATCGGACGCTCCACAATCACCGCCGGCACGCACCCCTCCCTCATCGCCTCCACCGCCCACGCCCACGCCGCCTCTCCGCCGCCGTACACAAACAAGCAGAACCTGCTGCTTCTGCTCCGCCTCAAAACTTCTTGTCCCGCACCCTCCGACTTCAATTCCTCCACCAAGAAATCGGGGTCACCCTTCATTTGGCTCACAAAATTCACACCCCTAGTCCCATCCCATCTAAGGTACCCCAGAATTGACGGCGGCGCCGTCGGATTCTCCGGCGGCGGGGTGCGCCGCGGCGGGATCAGTGGAGGCAGAGTGATGTCTTTGTGCGGAATGAAGAGACCGGAAACGACGGGGAAAAGGGAGATTTGAATTGAATTCTTCTTGAGCTCGAGGACGTTCCTGTCGGAGGAGAAGTCGATTCCGACGGGGGAGAGGAAGAAATGGTCGGCGCCGAGAGTGCGATTCCAGTAAGGGTAGGCGCTCCTGAGGTCTCTGATGATGCGGCCCAAAGAGCGCGCGGAGGTGTGGGGAGAAAAGGGGACGAAGAAGAGGTGGGCCTGGGCGGGGTCGGGAGTGACGAAGCGGCTGCGGAGGAGCGATTTATAGAAAAGAGAGGCCGCCGGGAACCGGGAATCGAAGGGCTTGGAGTTGGAGGGGTGGGTGTAGACGAAAATCTTGAAATTGGAGAGCATGTTTTGGTAGTTTCGGACAAGAGTGGCCGGGGAGAGATAGGGGGAAGGGGAGGCGGCGGACGGAGCTGGGAGGACGAGGACGACGACGAGGACGACGACGACGACGGAAGAGATGGCGGCAGCCATGGATCGGAATTGTTGTGGGGTGGGGTGCGTGCGTAGTTGGGGAACTATTTTGACTTAGAAAGAATTAGGCAGTTGGAGCATTTCTTTCAACCTAATTGTTTCTTTATTTATTACTCCTTATTTTTTTGCAATTTATTATTATTTATTACTACTCCTTCCTTTTTAAAACTATATTCTGAGTTGTGTTGAGCATATATTTAAAAAATATTGATATTATATTGGTAGCGGATAAAAAATAAAGGTAATTTTATAGTGATATGATTATTTATAAAAATAAGACTATTAATTTGAAACGGACAAAAATAATAAATAGGACTGTTCTATCAAATGAAGTATTATTTTGCATATATATATATATATGTTTTCAATTATATATATATGTGTTTTCATAAGACTTTTGTTAGCCCATAAGTCAGTAAGTCAGTACTGTGACGAAGCGGCTCTTGCTCACCCGACACGATCGTACGAGGTCACAATTCACCCAACACGATCATCCGGGGTGAACAAGAATTGGGGATCGGATGCGGGCGAAATTCCCGCCAATGTACAGTTGAGATCCCTGCCGGTTCATGGGATCAGCATGCAACTTGGGAAGGTTAGACATGCCATAAAAAATAGAGAGACTTGGATTAAAATCTCTGTCAGAGTAATTTACTTGCAATTCAGTCCCCATTGTAAATTAATTGATCTGCAGTCCCTACTTTATTGATTAGATATGTTATAACTCATTTTTTGTATTTTCCACTCAATCACAATTGTATATGCAACATGTACTTACGATTGATTAATAAATACTTCCAATTTTATAATATATACATACATTACCTCCCGTTGTACCCCCAGTATACAATTAGATAATTCCATTTAAATACTGCGTACCTTATTTTGTGATTTTTTTTTTAAAAAAATCACAGAAAATATGCACGATTTAAAAACTGAAACCTTCCTTAACTTTCCTCACTCTCCGTCCAAGCCCTAGTTCTTCGAGAAGCAAATCGACCCTCGCGAACTCAACGATCAAGCAGTAAGACATTTGTTCAGCGAAATGGTGAGAAAAACTGCGAATCCGCCGCGATCCCCCACGAGGAGTTCGAAGAAGTAAGTGTCTGGTCGAAACCCTTTCCGTTTTATGATTTTGTTGACAATCGAATTTTATATCGTAGTTTATTCGATTGTTTGGGGTAGAAGCCTTGGTCCCGTGTTTGTATGCCTCGGTTCGGTGATGAGGAGCCCTGGGTGTTCGGTGTTGTGTTTGTTCAACGGGTGGTTTGAAATTGTTCGAATTTTTGGCCAGGAAACCCGGTTCGGCCGATTTTGGGTGATTTTATCTGTTTTATCTTTGATTTTGTTAATTTTGGAGATGTATATTTTGTTTAGTTACTCGAAGTTGCATATTTTAGGTTTTTTGGTGGATTGTTCGGTAATTAATCATATTTGTGGGTTGACAAATGCGGTATTATTAGGCACCAGAGTTTCATTTGTTTGGTCTAATTTGCTAATTAATATACCTGTATGGCACTATTGTATACTCGGAATGCGTTTTTACTCCTGATAAATTGTGAAAAACTTTTAACTAAATTAGAGATTTGGATAACGTGGACTTATGGTTTTTACTTACAGGCAGGGAAAGAGCACAAATCGGTAATCAGCCGATTTGCATTACCATTTTTTCATAATGAGGTGGGCAAACTGAAGCAACACATGACAGACGAACACATCACAGCTATAAAAATGACACCGTTCGGGCATTTTCTGGACTGCCCAAAAATGAAGTTTCCGTGGCACCGAGTTGTTGCCCTCGTCAATAGCTTTAGTTCGGAATCTATGTCCTTCAAGATTGGAAGTGACATTAAGCTTCCGTTTGAAGTTGAAGAATATTATAGTCTTAAGACTACATGCGAAAGGAGTCTACGTGACCGAAAACACATCGGTCGAAAGTGAATGGTTTGTTCGGATTTTTGGGAGCAAGCCGCGTTCTGTAACCCGCGGCCAGGTGTTGCAGAAGCTGCGTGAGGCTCTGTTGCAGGGGCTGGAGCCTCTTTCTGTTGCGGACATTGCCCGTCTCTTTATTTTACTTGTTTTTGCAAATACTTTATTTTGTTCTGCGAATTATTCTGTACCCCTTTTTTTGTTACCGTATGTGGAAGACCTGAGTGCGATTGGTGACTATGCGTGGGGACCCGCGAGTCACCGTTATCTGTTGAAGTCTATAAGCGACTTTAAGTCCGGGAAAAAATATTTGACAGGCTGCACCGCCGGTTTGTTGGTAAGCAATGTAATATCGGATTTGTTATTTTTTTCTACTTATTTTGGTATATTGCACAATATGTATTATTATTGGCAGTAATGTCTATTACAATATGTGCAGGCTTGGTTCAATGAGAGGGTCCCAACTTTGGACAAGACACGGTGCCTTCCGAAGGTACCGCGTCTCTTTCGGTGGCTGAATAGCCTCGGTCCAATGTCCAGGGTTCATGCAGTTGGTGAATTGACATCCCTAAAGCGGTCAGATATTCAGGAATTCTATCGGATAGGCACGGAAGAAAAGTTTGTTCGTGCAATTTTCCATGCTTCGGAGGTAAATGCATTATTCAATGTTGCTACCATTGTAAATGGATAAAATAATTTCTTATATGACATTATTAATATATATTGCAGGAAGCAGCTCAACAAATTGCCATTGAAGGTGGAGCTGCGGAAGAAAGACGCTGCAATTGCCAGACTTGCTCATAAATTGCAAAGATCTAGAGATGGTGTTGTCAATGACGATAGTGAAGGTGAGGGTGAGGACGAGAGCGATGGCGAGGAGGGTGATGCAAACTATGGGGAGGAGGAGACAGCAGACCGGATGGCTGTGGAGTCAGAGAGGAAAGAGAAGCAGGCTGACGGGGAGGAGAAACAGGGTCAGGAGGAGGAGAGTCAGGGTCAGGAGGAGGAGGATGAGGAGGAGGAGGAGAAAAAAACTGGGGATGAGGAGAGTCAGACTGAGGAGGATCCCGAGGAGGCAGCGGAAGAGCGAGCGAATACCGAGCGACGAAGCAAAAAAAATGGACATCCTTTTGGCCGAAGTTGATCCGATAAACGAGTCAGATGACGAAGGGGTTGGTAGCCTGCTAGAGTTTAACCAACTGATGGCCATTGTTCCTTATATTGCACCGATAGATGTCAAGGTAAGCTAATTAATATAGTAAGTACAATTTGTAGGTCGTAGTTGTCTATCTGTTGAATGATTGTTTGCTTTGTTGAAATTGTAGTAGGCCGATGAGTCCGACTGTGAGACTTGTAGCAGGGTCGCAGATTCATCGATCGTACGTGGTGTAATGGCACGTAAGGATCGGAAGAGAAAGAAGAAGTCTGAATTCGTGACACCTGTGTCGACACCGCGAATTGAGAAAGCGAGAAAAACATGGAGGGCGAAAGGAAAGTCAGCGGTTGACGTCAATAATGAGCAGGTACGTAGTTCCATACAAATATAAGTCGTCCGGCTCGAAATACTTCGGATAGATTCTTAAATACCCAGTGTTTCTGAGTCAATACCTGTACAATAAATACAGATACCTACGGAAACATGATTATCTTCATTATTGGTTCAGGAACCATTTGTCGTCGGCGACGATGGGGACTCGGATGCTACGGTTGTAGCAGACCCTGGAGCACAAAAGTGGGAGGGATATCGCAATAACGACAGCTACTGTGGAAAGGGTACCTTATATGAGGATGAGACGAACACCATTGAACATTTTCTCGCGTCATTCGCCGTCCGGTATTTCTATTCACTATTAAGGCTTTATATATTTTTCTCAATTGATGTTTTTATCCGTTTGTGACTATCATCTTGTAGGGACACTATATGGCAGCAGGGTTTCGTGTCTGTCTCGTCCGATGCCATTTTAGAACTACTATTTGATGAAGCTGTGAAAGGCAAAGTCATCGACGCGTACCTACATCATCTATGCAGCAATGAATATCAACTCCAACACAATCCGCAGGTGCGGTGTGGTTGTGTGCCATGGTTCGTAGCGGTGAGTATCCTATTTGGAATTTATACGGTTAGTATTACAAATCACATTGTTATTATTGCGTTGGTTGCTGTGTTTGATTTTTAGAAAGCCGTGAACGACGCGCTATCACGACCAAGCAGGGGAGCGAAAAAGCCGAGCATCAATAAAGGTATTGTGCTCGCGTTTGCCAACTCGCTGCAAGTGACCGTAGGCCAAGAGATTGTCGGAATCATGGACAAAATCTGGTCTGGGTGCCGGTACATATTTCTACCCGTACACACCCGGTTCCACTGGCATCTCTGCATACTGGATACCGTCAAACGCGTTGTGTTGGAGTGTAACTCAATGCGCGACCCCTTCGGCCAGGGGAATGCAAAGAAATTGGTACGTCTTTTGAATGATCATAATTAATTGCCTATGGGTAGGGTGAATTCCTTAACGAAAGAGTAACGTTATTTGTGCAGACGCGATTTTTATTGTTGTACATGAATGCGTCACGACTATGGCCTATGGTCAGCGACACGCCCGAGTACATTAGATGCCGGCACCAGGGTGAAACGCTAGACTGTGGACCTTTAGTCTGCATGTTCGCAGAGTGTTATGCGCGGGCAGGTCCAGATGTCATTGTCGTGGGCGTCCTCGGCGAGGACTTTGGCGATGTCAAGAGCTACCGAGGCACGATTGCGGCGAGGATATTGAAAGGTCCCCCCTCTGAAACGTAGACCCCTATGGAAAAATAGGGCAGGTTAACACATGTAATGAATTTGGATTGATTTGGGAAGTTCTTGCGTTGTGTGGCAAGGTGATGGATTTGTTGAATGTCTTCAGTTTGGATTGATCTGGGAAGTTATTGTGTTGTGTGAAGGTGATGGATTTGTTTAATGTCTTCAATTTGGATTGATCTGGAAAGTTATTGCATTGTGTATCGAGGTGATGGAATTGGTAAATGTATTTTATGTGGATTGATTTTTCATCTTCATTATATACCTACGTTGTGTGGTGATACCCGTTGATAGCTTTTATGTGCCTACGTTAAACTAGTATGTACTTCCATTTATATGTTACATGCTCCAGTCACTTGCGTTTGTGGGACTGGCCATTTCTTTTGCACTGATCACTGAA